TCAAGCACTGCTTGTCACAGAAAAACGCTAGATTGAAAGTTGAACTGGTGCTGTCAATAATAACTAAACAATTGCTGAGACCTTAGTTTTCTGACATGTATTAGTTTACTGATTTTTTTTTTTTTGCTTGACGAGGGCTTCTATTAATTAGTAATTAAGCAAGTCAATATTATAAAATTAAGAAAAACTAAGTTTTTTAGCAAAAAAATGGTTTCTGTTTAAAAATTGCTCATTACTTCGTGATAACTTTATTTTGGTTGCATTTTTGTTCTTGAACATTTAATTTGTCTCCAATCATCAATGGTATCAATCAGTTTAACAAAAAAAATAAAAGATTCTTCTCAAAATTTTACTTTTTTTTTTGCCTTTGTTTTTACGGTGATTATAAAAACTGTTTCTTTCTGTTGTCGTTGTTAAACTGTTTAATCACTCATTAACTGTTTAATAACACCAATGATGTTTTATTCTGAAGGAAAGTTTATTTTTTAGCATTTTTTCAACTTTTACTTTACATAAGTATCTTTCAATGCAATAATACTTTTCAATTTGGAGAAAGCTAAATGATTTTTGAAAAAAAATTACATTAAATCATAACTTGTTCACATTTATACTCCAATTCTAAATGAAGGAAAAACAGAAATAACTGCTATTTTTTAAGAAATATTTCTATTTGGTACTCTAAAATAAAGCTTTCTTCTCTTTTTTTGACTTTTTTTAAAATTTATTTTAAATCAAAAAACTAGACTTAACTGAGGAAAACTGCTGGTTGAATTAAATTGCTTGCTTTAATAATTAATTGTCTGACTTTATAGTTTTTTTTTTTTTGTGGATAAAGGGCTTATTAGTGCTATTTTGGTACAGCAAAATACAGTTAAACGAAAAATTCAGTTACGTTGTTTCTCAAATACTATAGAAAAACATCTTTTTTGTAGAAGAACTAATTAGTTTATAGAAGAAACTGAACTTAGAAGACTTGAAGTCAGACTGATGACGAACGATGATGAATCGAAAACTTTAGTATAATAATTGACATTCAGAATATGAATTAGGCGTTCAAACCATTTTTTGTGCATCTATCAAATGCAACTTCAATAAATTTTATCAATATTTCTGTTTGCAAAAAAAAGAAAAAAAGTGAAGAATAACTCCCCTATTCGTCGTAAAGAGATGCGTATCAGAAGAATTTGTTTAGTTGTTGTTGGTCACATAAACGAACATTATTTATTTATTTTAGATACACTAGAATTTGCTACTGTCTTAGGATGCGTCTTTTGATTTTGTCATGCTTCTTGGCCTGTGCCTATTCAACTCCACGTTCCACACGACAAACATCACAAATTGGTCTGTTTTTAGTATTTTAATCCTTTTTTTTTTTAAAGCAAATAATTTATTCTAGACTTTCTGCTTTAACAGTATAAAATTTCAATTTTCAAAAAAAAAAAAAAAAAAAAAA